ACCATACATTTTGAATCAGGTTAGTTACAAGATACACAACCGGTCAACGAAAATGGTGGAATGAAATTACAGGACCCACAACCAATCATACTGATCAGGCCATCGAGATCCATAAACATATTCACAGTAACACCCCAAAGCATAAAGTAACAGGCTAGCCCAATAACTTCAAATTCAATTTAAAACCATGGTAGAAGTTATTGGTAGCTTCCAACTTGAGACTTATAAGGAGCTCATAAATCTCATTTTCTATCCATGTGGAATGAGTTGTTACAAACTCCCCTACTTAGATATTTTTCTTGCCCATAATCTTCCTCGTAATCGACAATATGGGGATTCGCCTAATATGTTATAAACACACCCCTCGAGGACTTATCATACCTAATGATACAAAGATCTGCTCTGATACCATTTGTAACACCCTAAAGCACAAAACAATAGGTTAACCTAATAACTTTGAATCCAACTTAAAACCATGATGGAAGTTATTGGTGACCCCAACTTGAGACTTATAAAGAGCTCATAAATTCCATTTTTTTTCCATATGAGACGAGTTGCTACATTCATACTTCTATTTTATTTTGTTTTTAACGTAAATCACATGAAATTTGGTATCTTTGTTAATCATGGCTTATCATATAGTAATTTAGGCATAATTATTAAGTTTGAAGTTTTCTTTAACCTTGTAAAATTGATGGTATCGTTTATAAAGACGCAACGTATGTCTGAAAATATTAAAAATATATATATTATTTTGATGTCAACATTTATATCTATATACTATATTATAAAGTATTTGATAACAACTCTTAAAAATCATTCTTTATGCATGAAGTACCGTGTATAAATGCATATTACTTAAAATTTAAGATTACAAGTAAATTATGCGTAAATATAACTTATTAAAACTCCATTTTTGAATTCGTATAACTAACTGCAGATAAATATAACCAAATACAGGATAAATATATCATTTTAAATATAAAAAATTTAAAATATAATTAAGATAATTATTGATTTCTAACAAAATCATTATCTTTATAAAAAGTTTATTGTTAAGCCAAAAATAAATTACTTTACTATTTGACCTAAATTAAATTAAAATAAAAAATTGAATTAAAGAAATAGTTAAATAGTTAATTTGATATTAATATCGATATATTTTTTCAAATTTTTATGATGTTTTCAAATTTATTTTTATTCAAAAGTAAAAACATTATTTTTCTCAAAACCACATAAATCGTATTATATCAATAGATATAGAAAATAAAACAAAACAAAACATTAAAATGAAGATGTATCTCGTTGTATTACGCGAGTACCCTTCTAGTTTATCTACAACTAAAACAAGAATACTTAAAGTGTTGTAGAATAAAAATCTTCCTTTTAAGCATTGTAAACTTGTGCAACAGACAGCAACATCGACCATGATGCCTTCGAGTCTGACCCCATGAGTACGTTGCACGTGCCACCCAGAACCCTATCCACCTTATGTTCGAGTCTATGATAACCAGTGGCTCGATAATGATGCATTCGTGCACAAGTAAAATACATTCAAGTGCTAGAACATGTACATTTGAGAACCACGGAAACCAACTATTCAAAAAATCAACTGAGATCTAGACTTGTACGTTCTTAATGGTCCTGTCACGTTTGCCTTCTATGATTTTCAATATATTCAACTGTAGGCCGTAGCCATATATGACCCGCAACCAATAACTTCAGTATTCTTTTATAATGATTTTAATTGTAACAATTTTTAATCAGAATTTACTTCTTTATGTCCAACAATAATTATAAATATATTTCCTTAGCTTTTTTCATCATTAAAAATAATCTATATATTAATGATTAAGTACAAATTCTTATTAGTATACATGAGACAAACGTGACACAAAGTCTTGATATATACATACATATTAGAAGGGTACTCGTGCAATGCAACGAGATATATCTCGATTTTAATGTTTTATTTTATTCATTTTCTCTACCGATATAATACCATTTTACATGGTTTTAGAAAACGATAATATTTTTATTTTGAACGAAATATAAATTTGAAAAAAAAAT